GCAGCTTATGGTGGATTGACATTTGAAATGAGACACAGGGAACTGTCTCTGAGAAAAATGCCAACCCTGAGAGAACTCAGGTAGCAGTATTTATTGAGAAAAAACACAAGCAAAATACAGTCTGCATATTCAGAAAACAATGACCTCAACAGGAGATTACTTCACCAGCATGAGAACACACAATCTTGGAAAGTCCCAGATGTTACCTTGTTAGGATGAGATCATACAGCCACAGAAAGTCTCATGGGAAAGTTTGGAAAGTCCCATGAGAAAGCACAACTGTGTATCTTGAACTTTCACCCATTTTCCTGTTCCTTCTAAACTGGCAGAATCAAAACAGAATGAGGCACTCTGAGCAAAGATACTCCTACCCCCACCAAGAATGCCCACATCTCCTAGACTTACTGCTAGTTATACAAAGGCCTTACAGAAAATGATAAAATGATCAATAGGTTATATTACCACACAGCTCAATATCCCAACCACTCAGAGAGTCTGAAAATGTGATGTGCAAACAGACTTGCTCTCTCCCTGTGGCTCTCCAGCCTTCATAGCTTTATTGAAAAGACGAGGTGTCAGACTGGCCACAGCTTGAACCTCTAGATAAAATAATGATTCTTGTGTTCTGACCCAGCCGGGTTCCCACACAGCAAACACAGACAAACTCAGTATCTCAAACCTTCATAGCTTTAATCTACAATGAACTTCTTTGTAGATAAAAGATGGCTTGTAGCCAATTAGTCCAACCAAAAAAACCTTGACAGAATTCTTCAGATAAGCCGGAGTCTCTACACACAATGCTGAGTCCTTCGAACGTTTTTGCCTTCTACAGAGCAAAAAACCCTTTGAAACCAGGCTTATATTCCCTGGAGGGAGGAGCCATTACTTGGCATTCTTACTCCTGAGTCGCCTGTGCTGCTCCAGCTGTTTTCTTCTATGAATCATCCTGAGCTCACTTGCACTTAGCCCAGGCTCCTCGGGAACCTCCTCCTCACTGCTGCCAGCTAACCACAACATCCTGGCTCCATTTGATTGGGAAAGTATAGCTTTATTAGAGATTAAGTATATTGTAGCATTGCAAAGCCAGAACTGAAAATTGCACACTAAAAGTTCTAAGATCTACTTTTTCTTCCCTTAACTGTGTCTCATTGCCCACACCAATGTAACCAATCAGGTTCAGGCAAGATGTTTCCTTAATGTCAGTCCAAATGCAGCTTGATATGCGCCCCCCCCTCCTTCTTCCACCTGGGTGGCCTTGAGGTGGCATCTGGAAGAGATATAGAACTTACTTTCATTTCCTGAAGCATTCCCCGCTTCTTTCCCCCTCTGCACAGTTCATGGCAGTCTTTCCCTGCATAGCCGTGAAGCAAAAGCAAGCATAATGTGGCAGCTGACCTTGGGTCTCCAACAGGGCCTTCCCAACCCGCTACCCCCAAGTTGTTTGGGCTGTGTGAAACCGCCATTAGGAATGGCTCATCACTCAGCAGAGGATAGATTAGCTTGGCTCCTGGTAAAGAGTTCCAGTAGAGAAACTGTCGTGCTGTTGCTTTAACTTAGGGTAGGACTTCCCAAATGGTCAATATTGACCTCCAATGGTCAATAGGACTATCCAAGACGTCAATAAATGGCTGTGGATCAAAGAGGGAGGTCAATAAATGGCTGCAGGGAGACAATAGGTCAAAAGATCAAGTGGGGTCAATTAATATTTTGGGGTCCCTGCAGAGCTCCACCCCAGTACCTAGTTCTGAAGGTGAGGTGGCTAATGGTGACACAATGTTACCGAGGGTTGAGTGGTCAGCCACCAGCAAGAGAGGCCCTAAGTTGTGTGGATGATAAGGAATAACAGAATAAGAGTTGGAAGGGATGTTGGGGGTCTTTTACTCCAACCCCCTGCTTAAGCAGGAAACTCTATATACCGTTTCAGACTGGTTGTCCAATCTTTTCTTCGAAACCTTCAGTGTTGGAGCACCCACAACTTCTGGAGGCAAGTTGTTCCACTGGTTAATTGTTCTCACTGTCAGGAAATTTCTCCTCCGTTCTAGGTTGCTTCTCTCCATGATTAGTTTCCGTCCATTCCATCTATTGGTGGTTACTAGTTTATCTTTGGGTTGTGTGTGTTTGTGTTCTGTTTACATTATACTTCAATGTTCACCCAATATACTAAAAAGTAAGATCACATTTTAAAATCCAGATCGTAGCCTCACAGAATATACAAACTAATGAGAAATAGCATGGAGCAATGGTTCAGATCAGGGGTGGGATTCAAAAAAAATAACTTCCGGTTCTGTGGGTGTGGCTTGGTGGGTGTTCTGTACGGTCATTACCATTCTTGTAGAACCGCGCAGTGATTGGCCAAGACGCACGGCGAGCTGATTGGTCGAGCGAGCCGCACTGATTGGCCCGCCGCGAATCTCCCGCGATTGGTGAAAACTAATCGCGGGAGATTCAAAGTGGTGCCATTGGCCGCGGCCGCCGCGGCCAAAGAATAAAAGCCGCCGCTTTTCTTTCGGACCCGGGCCGATCTCGGGAATCAATAAATGAGCTGAACTAAAGTCACTGGCTCCGAGTCTCTTTCCTTGCGACGGACACAACAGTGGGCATGGCAGGGGAAGGATACTGCCAAATCCCCATTCTTTCCCCACCCCACTAACCTGCTTTCCAGCTCCGTTCTCCTATGCAGGGCAACAAAAGAAGACCCAGCCAATCAGCTGGGACTCGGGAGGCAGAGAATAGATGGGGGCGGGGCCAGTCAGAGGTGGTATTTGCCGGTTCTCTGAACTTCTCAAAATTTCCGCTAGCGGTTCTCCAGAACTGGTCAGAACCTGCTGAATACCACCTCTGGTTCAGATGGCGAATTCTGGGTGAGAGATTCCAAATCAAATCTATTCTAGGATAGCTCATGGTGTGACTGTCACTCTAAGCCAAAAATAGCTCATGTAAATAAATGTTAGTAGAAAGATCTGAAGGAAGAATATACAAAACATGAAAATGCCTTTTAACTCTGATGCTGTTATCTTTATAATTAAATAGCATGATGATGATGATGATGATGATCCATAGTTCTATTATTTAAATGGTATTTATTACATTATTTTCATGCAATAAACGATTGGAGGTCGATGGACAATCTGAAAGTTCATGAAAAGATCAGTGAGCTTGAGAGTTTGGGCACCCCAGAGTTAGGCACCACACAATAGTATGCCATTCAATATGTGAAGGGGACTTTTTATAAATAGAATTGGTCCTGAACTCATAGCCAAAAGGTCAGTACACATTTTATTTCTGATCAGATGCAAAGGACTGGCCTGGTGTGCTATACTTAACACACAAAACGGTCCTCTAAATATCACATTGATTTATTTTTCTAGTGACAGTCTTCATGCAGTAAATTTCTAGGTACTTTCCTAGGTACCACATTCTATGCATGGGAAGGGAAGTGTAGAAAGCATGTGAGCAAGTACCAAACAGGGCTCGCAGTCTTAGGCAGCCAAACTACTACTCTGCATTAGCATTAGTCTCCTGTCTAATGTAACATTGCCATATGCTAAATAAAATAAATAAAAATCCTGTGCATTTAGTTATAGCAGGGGTGTCAGGCCCCGGGGGTGGGGGGCAGATCCGTTTTGCGGGGTGCTTAGATCTGGCCTGCAGGGCCACCCTGGAAACAACAAAGGACTGGCCTGCAGTGCCTCTGCCAGAGAAAACGGAGCTTTTCGCTGGCAGAGGGTTGCAGGAGGCCATCGCAGCCAAAAACAGAGCTCGGGAACCCATTTTCACTGGCAGAGCGTTCGGGCCACCAGAGGCGCCCAACACGAGTGAAGTCGAGCTGGCCATGCCCACCCTGGCCCCCTAAGATCAAACACAACCCTGATGTGGCCCTCAATGAAATCAAGTTTGACATCCCTGAGCTACAGTGTCTCTGTTTCAGTGTTTTTTACCAAGTGTGTAGATCTTGTTCTGGTCTAGCCAAGCAGCTAGGGCTAGGAGTGCCTTCACACATCTTCATGTAGCGCTCCAACTGAGACATTTTCCAGCACCGTGCAAATACAATCCTTGCTGCTGTCACAGAACATGTAATATTAAGTCTAGATTCCCTTTATCATACTTTTCCGGTATTATGCCTAACAAAAATATTTCTGGCTTATAACCTATGTGCTGCTTTAACGTTTTTCTAACCATGTATGTATTTTTGTCCAATATTTCTTTGATTTTGCACATGTCCACCACATGTGATAATATGTACCCAGTATCTGTATGATGGTATGGGCAATTTTTTTGGGATACACTATAGAATTGGACAAATGGCAAAAACTTTGGGAAGTTGTAAGTTGACAATGGCAACTACGTATAAGGAAAACCTACATGAAGTGTTTTATTGGTGGCATTTACCACTGGCCAGATTAGCAAAGATGTTTAAAAACATGTCCACCGGATTTTGGAAAATCAGGGATGTTATATGGAGGAAGCATAACCCCAGGGCAGAGAAAGAGTCATCTTCAGTCAGGGGCTTGAAAGTGACAGGTGTTGCTAGAATTTTTTTAAAAAAGCATCTGCACAGGAAGGCATTAAATATTTAAATATTTTGGAGGAACTTTATAATCTTTGCGGTTTGGAAACAACGGATAATTGCTGTTATTGACTAGACCTGCACAGTCATTACCATAGTTAACAATTTCTAACCACAATTTGCAGCACTCTCTGAGCAGTTTACAATGTTTAGCATGTTGCCCCCAATAATTTAGCCAACCTTTTTCTCCCTTTTGACTGGGGAGGCTAAGCTAAATAAAACACCTGGGTGTAGTTACACTATCAGCTGTTTCCAAGAAAAGATTGGACAAGGAAACTCCTCCTTCTGGTGTCAGTCATCACTCACCAATGTGCCCTGAATGTTCTTACTTAAGTACGACAGCTTCCTCTTAATCTGTCATTGGAATCCTCCGTTTAACATTTGGTTTTTCTTCTCTGCTCTAGATAATTTACAGAACCACAGATATTCAAACATGGGAAACGCTTTCATTGCCCACCGTGGTCATATTGTCACTGCTGTTGCTGTTGCTGCTGCTGTGGCTTCTGCTGTTCTTGTATTTTGCATTGGTAAGTCATCTAAACTCTAATATTGCAAGCTAAATAATGCTTTCATTTCTAGTGAAGGGTTGTCGTTGTTGTTGTTATTTTGCAAATTTCGAACCCCACCATTGCTCTTTAGCCAATGAAAGCCTGCACATTTCTCCTCTAGAAGTGCAGATCTATACCTTTTCTTTATTACAGGTAGTCTTTGAATTATGACCAGTTGCTTAGCAATGAATTGAAGTTATGACCGACCTTCCAAGGGCTAAGTAGTAACATTGAAGTTATGATGGCTGCTCCCCCAAAGTCTCGTGATTGCATTTTGGGGACTTGGCAGTTGGCCTGTATTTGGATCTGTTTGCAGTGCCCTGCAGTCACATGACTATAATATACAAGTTTTTTTTGTTGGAAACTAATGCTCACTTTGTTTCTGGTTAAAAAATAAAAAACTCATTGAGGAAAATGGCTTTGCTTTACGAAACCATGTTTGCTTTATGACCATCACGTTCACTAAACAACTGTTGCACAAAAAAAAAGGTTGTAAACTCAGGTTGACCATGTGACGCCTCAGCTTATGACGGTCATGACTTACATCAGAAATTCCAGGCTTCATTCTGGTCATATATTGAGGACTAGCTGCATTCCCCGTTCCGATTTGTGACTGGTTAACTGAGGAGTGTTTGTTAGATCTTGATCTCTTTTCCCCCCCCCTTAGTATCACTGACAAATAAGCCAACTTTAAACCCTGATGACTGTAAGCTGCTATTGGCAGCCTCCGAACATGGGAGACGCCCGTGCCCGACTGACTGGATTGGGTACCAGATGAAATGTTTCTACTTCTCAGATAAAGAAGAAACCTGGTCTGCTAGTCAACACTTTTGCTCTTTGTACAATGCCTCGCTGGTCATTATTGAAAAGGAAGAAATGGTAAGAGGTGAAAATAATCCTATTGCATTATTAAGAGCGTCAGGATGGTTCTGCTTTCGTGTAGGGTCCACACATATCAATTCTACTTGTGGGGAATTCATCATTTTCTTTTAATGACCCCATAATCCCTCGCGGAGTGGAGTCAGGCAACTGAATGGAGCTGAGTGTTTACTGGCCGGCTGCCCTACCTGTTGCCAATGCGGAGTTATATATTCAGCACATATATTCTCATTGTGCCCAGAGAGAGAAATAGCTGCCTCTACCTAGGATCGAACTTACAGCCTCCTGATTGTGAGGCGAGAGCTCCACCTCTAGGCCACCTCACCAATTCTACTTGAGGGGAAACAATTTGATAAAATATGTCAGTTTTCATTAAGGAAAGACCATCTATCTATTGCTCCCTAATTTATCATCAGTGTCTTTAGCCTATGTCTACTACTCGTTTAATGGTTGTCCAGTTCAATGACCATTCAAAGTCGTGACGGTACTGAAAAAGCAACTTTATGAGCGGTTCTCACATTGACAACTCGTGCAACGTCCGCATGGTCATATGGTTGAGATTCGGATGCTTTGGAATCAGCGGGAGTTTATGATGGTCCCGCATCCCAAAATCACGCGATCGCCATTTTTGCATTACACAGTAGACATCCGACAAGCCGCATGAACGGAGAAGCTGGGGGTAAAATTGCCAAGTTATGGATGTTGCACTAAATGACCACAGGTGATTCTCTCAAAAGCCAAGGCAAAAGTGAGGTTATCAGTCCGTCACAATCATGCGATCCCTTGCTTTACAAGTGTGTTGCTTAGCAACAAAATTGCCAGCCCCAGTTGTGGTCAATAAGCAAGGGCTACCTGTATTTCTATAGGCTATTTTGAAGTGTTCTATTTCCTTTATTTACCTCTAGACTGATTTTTGTTTTAATATCTTCCAAATATCTTCTAACTCTAACATCTTCCAAATCTTACCTGTCTGATGTTTATTCTTTGCCATCTAGTCAAGCTTTAGCTTTGCTTTAACTCTATCCTGGTTCCAGCATTGCCCACTGCTATCTACTTCTCCCTTCTCTTCTCTCTCTTCATTGTGGACTGACCCAGCTGGATTTGAGCATCATCACAGTGGAGCTACTCTGGTGTTGCTTGACATCCTCACCAGTGGCTGGTCTTGTAAGGTCTTGCTTCACCTGGCTCTTTTGTGGTGATCTTGTGGTCCAGCTTTGCTTCTCTTAACCACTCAATGCGTCGGGCCATTCTGGCTTGACTTCTTCTTTAGCCTCCCCTGTATTGTGTTCTGACCCAGCCTTCACGAGCCCCACTCAACAGCCTACTCGTGAGCAGGAACCCCTTTTTATTTAGAAAGGCAGAAATTACACAGCATTTACTGACCAAGCTCCAGGTCGACATCCTGAGGTGATTCACAAGCCGTAGCAGTCTCTGAGTTCCCTGCAGGGAGCTCCAATTAATCCCAACACAAAGAGTCCTGACCAACCTGGTTAGTGGCAAAGAAATCCTGGCAAGGAATCCGCCGGAGGGAACTCTTCTGGAGCATTAACGGATGTCTGTGACAACCACGCCTCCAACACCCCTTCTCTTTATATCCCAGCCAGGGAGTTAACGTCTCCTTCTTTTCCTGAATAGTTGGCCTCAGTCCTGCATTGTTCTCCTCTCCACACTTCTCTGCACATATGCACATCTGGGACAGGGCTCAGCTGTTCCTCCCCCTCGCTCAGTTCAGGCCCCCAAAAACAGCTGTCTCTCCACCTGAGCGTGAGTAGATGGACCCTACTTTGCATCTGGCTCTGAGGTCTCTTACTCCTCAGAACCTTCCACCAGCCCAGACACCCCCTCCATCTCCTCTGATTCCTCTGACTTGACTGCCATTGTGATGACCCGTAGTCTCTCAAAATAACCCCAAACCCAAAACATACATTAAAGTCCCGTAAAGCCTTCAACTTAACTTCACTGTTTTATTAGGCACAGTTTAAAGTCACAAAAGTAAATAATGAGACAAAAGGAAACCAAAACAAACCACATTGATGAGAGTTCTGAAGGAAGCCAAGATAATTAATCATACATTCCAGGAAGATACGGGGAGAGTCCATGGGAAGAATGCCAACAAAGATAAACCTCTTTCAAAGGAAACAATAAACTTTGACTGGATAGGGGATGGGCCTGGATCCTCCTCTGATTGCTCAGCTGGCCTCTGCCCTTCCCCAGCCTCCTCCACCACCTCTGGAACCACACTCCCACTCCCTGTTGGCTGTTCCTCCTCTTCCTCAGAGTCAGTCTCCACCAGGGGCATGACAGCCATCTCCACTGGCAGTCAACAACCCACAACAAACTAAGCTTTCTTGCACTGGTTGGCGTGGTGGAAGAGCCACAATTCCTAGATCTCTTAAGTACAAACCAGCCTCTTTCTAATGCTTTCGGCCTTGTTCTTCTTCCTGTTCTGCCTTTCTCCTGCTTTTTCTTTCACAGAGATCTCTGCTGGTGCAGCGGGCTTCTGCTATGGGATGTCGTCTTTGCATGACCCAAGAAAGGGTACAATCAATTCAGCCTTCTGGATATTTCCTAGGGCTCTTCTAAGCAGTGGTGGTATTCTAACAGTTTGGCCCAGTTTGGCCGAATTGGTAGTTCCAAGGATCATTTGTGAGTGAAGGATCATTCGGTTCACTCTGACGATCAGCTGCTGGGCCCTGCCACCTGCCCTGGCTCTATACTGACCTTTATTTCCGGCTTTTGAAGCTCAGCTGCTTCGCACAGTACAGTGGATTGCCACGCGTCAGCTGTTAGAGGCAGGGAGAGTGCAGGATTGCAGGAATAGAGTAGAATAGAATGGAATGGAATGGAATGGAATGGAATGGAATAGAATAGAATAGAATAGAATAGAATAGAATAGAATAGAATAGAATAGAATAGAATAGAATAGAATAGAATAGAATAGAATAGAATTCTTTATTGGCCAAGTGTGATTGGACACACAAGGAATTTGTCATGATGCCAATGCTCTCAGTATACATAAAAGAAAAGATACATTCGTCAAGAGTCAAGAATCATGAGGTACAACACTTAGTGATAGTCATAGAGTAAAATAAGCAACCAAATCATACTAGGAAACAGTCAATATAAATCTTTAGGATACAAGTGACAAAGTTACAGTCCTACAGTCACAAGTGGGAGGGGATGGGTGAGTGATGAGAAGATTAACAGTAATAGTAGTGCAGACTTTGTAATAGTTGGACAGTGTTGAGGGAATTATTTGTTTAGCACGGTGATGGCTTTCGGGAAAAAAACTGTTCTTGTGTCTAATTGTTCTGGTGTGCAGTGCTCTATAGCGTCGTTTTGAGGGAAGGAGTTGAAACAGTTTATGTCCGGGATGTGAGGGGTCTGTAAATATTTTCACAGCCCTCTTTTTGACTCGTGCAGCATACAGGTCCTCGATTGAAGGCAGGTGGGTAAATTGTTTTTTCTGCAGTCCTAACTATCCTTTGAAGTCTGTGTCTGTCCTGTTGGGTTGCAGAACCAAACCAGACAGTTATAGAGGTGCAGATGATAGACTCAATAATTCCTCTGTAGAACTGGATCAGCTGCTCCTTGGGCAGTTTGAGCTTTCTGAGTTGGCACAGAAAGAACATTCTTTGTTGTGCTTTTTTGATGACATTTTTGATATTAGGTGTCCATTTTAGGTCATGTGAAGTGTGTGTTTGGCGCGTTCGTGTGTGAAGTGCGCAGAACCGGTGGTAAAAAAATTTGAAACCCTCCAATGCTTCTAAGGGTCTTCGTCATTGCATACCAACAGTAGGGAGATAAACTACTTCCTCTTTTTTTCTTCTTCTTGTGCTTTAGCGCCCTCTCTTGAGACACAACTTATCACTGCTAGGCTTTTTGCTACTCTGCAACCTGCTGACAACTTAATCTTCATGTCCTTATTTGACCCTATCTACTTGGTCTCCCCTCCTAGTTTTGCTGCCACGCAACTTCTCTGGACTCTTGACCTCTTCCCCTCTTTTGCTGAGGAGGAATTCTTCAGCAGCCCTGCATAGTACAAATACACACACACAAACACACAGACACTGGTGATTCATCTCTCCCACAAGGTCTTTGGGCTTAGCTCTGTCTCTCCTTTCAGCCGTATTTTTCCAAATTTGCTCTTCCCAGCTTCCTCTATCTTTTTTAGCTCTTTCACTTGTTGTTGTTGTTGTTATTGTTGAAAGTTCTGGAACTTTAGTAAACCTGCCAGCCTTTCCTTCTTGAAATAGCCACATCTGTTTTAAAGGGACCGTCTCCCTTTTCTCCTGAGTGGGACTCTTTTAATCCTTCAGGGAAAAGAAGTGGGAGGAAACAGCAGGATTGTTTTTACCTCCAAAAACCTCTAATAAAATGTTATAATATAAGTGTCAGGGTTCCGACCGATGCCCAAATGAAATTAAGAGTCTGAAGCCATTTAGCAAGAAAAATCCAGTTGTTTATTAGGAGCGCCATGTTGGTTTCACCCAGTTCACATCTTGCCTTTGACCCTGTTTCCCCCTCCCCCCCAGAGTGTGTCACCAATCACATTCCCCAATGAAGCAATTTTGCGGGTCATAGAAGTCACTCCTTCCAGCCATTGCAGGTCTCCGTGGAGACAGACTTAATTTTGGCCAGCTAGGCTATGTCTTGTTTTGACTGAGGTGTGAATTCCTTGATGCAGCTGTGAGGCGCGATTCCCATCCCCCTGCCTATGGCAACTTGGGAACAGTTCAGGAAAGCTTCACGGGTTGACAATAAGATCATTTATATTACGGCTGGGTTAGTGCTCTGATAGTCTGATTGATTCTGAAAAGGAGCTTTGAAGCACACAGGTGTGAACACGGCAGCTTTCTGCAGCTATTTGAAACCGTTGCTTCTTTTTCTGAGTTTCTGGGGCAGGTGCTGGCTTAAGGATCTGAAGACATGCTGAATTTACGTTCTGATGCTCTTTGGAAAAATACACTCTACAGCTGTGCAAAGCCTTAATTTATAGCCTTGAAAAATATGAAATCTTATCTGTTTCTTTCTGATCATATGCAGAGAAGACATATAATAATAAAGAACATGTCCTTAATTTATTAGTGTGAAGTAGAGGGTCAAAGTATTTTGAATAGAGAGCGGTGAGTTCCAAACTCAAGTCCACCCTGAGCTAGTGATTTGGAGCAAATCTCCCATCTGTTTTGTTGTGGAGGAGGCGGTTTCTGTATGCTTGTATGATCTCCTACGACTATGTAATACCCTGTTTCCCCCCAAAATAAGACCTATCCAACAAATAAGGCCTAGTAAGTTTGTATGTGTGCCCCTAATATAAACCCTACCCCCCAAAATAAGCGCTACTTAAAAGCCTGTGCAGCTGGCCACCCATCTGGCCCATTCCGTCTGGTTGCTCACAGTGCCGTGGCCATGAGATGAGACAGGAGGCTGGTGGAGCTGCCCCACACACCTGCACTGGCTTACCTCAGGGCTACTGCAGCCATGCCATCCACGCCCCGACAACTGCCTTGCAGAGGCAGCACCAGCAACCATGTGCAGCAGAAACCCACATGGCCACCAGCCCACTACTTCTTCTTGCTCACGGCCATAACAGAGAGGAAGGCAAGCAGTGTGCTGGTGCAATGACCACGGGGCATGTGTCGGGGCATGGATGACCCGGCTGCGGGGGACCTGGGGTAAGCTGGTGAGGAGGGTGTGGGACAGCTCCACCTCCCCACCTTGCCTTGTGGCCACGACACCAGTGTGTCACTCAGCCTCCTGCCTCCCCACGAGAAAGCAGAAGTAGGCCTCCTGTACATGGAAAAAAATAAGACACCACCCAAAAATAAGTCCTACTGCTTATTTCGGGGCCCAAAAGAAAATAAGACTTGGTCTTATTTTGGGGGAAACACAGGTATATAATATATAATCAAATAATATTATGGAATTATCAGCCAAGTCCAAATATATGTGATTGAGGAAATAGATAAAGGTTAAAACAAATGTATATTCAGGGTCCATAATCATTTCAGAGTGATTTAATGTTTACCAATTATACTCTCCAAAGGATTTTGTGCAGCGTTACAAAGGCAGCATTTCCCACTGGATTGGCCTCCAACGAGACCCGAAGCAGCCCTGGAAATGGGTCAACGGAAGTGCTTCAACGTGAGCCATCCTTTCTCTCTTATACCTTCACTTGAGGAGTGGTGAGATGGGCGGCATATAAATTTAATAAATTAATGAAATAACGTCTATACCAGCCAAATGCTGAGAAGAAGTGGTGTGAGGTTTATTCATCATCCAGTGCCATCCTGTTTCTTGCATCGAGCATAAATGCATGGCATATTTTTGTAAATGCTAATGTTGCATCCAAAACAGAGGTGGTATTCAGTAGGTTCTGACCAGTTCTGGAAACTGGTAGCGGAAATTTTGAGTAGTTCGGAGAACCGGCAAATACCACCTCTGACTGGTCCTGCCCCATCTATTCTCTGCCTCTCGAGTTCCCAGCTGATCGGCTGGCTCTTCTTTGGTTGCCCTGCATGGGAGAACGGAGCTGGAAAGCAGGTTAGTGGGGTGGGGGGGGGAATGGGATTTTGCAGTAATCTTCCCCTTGAGTGGGGTGGGAACGGAGTATATCCTATTACAGTATAGCCTTCCCCTGCCACGCCCACCAAGCCACGCCCACTTAACCGGTAGTAAAAAAAATTGAATCCCACCACAGGTCTAAGACTAAGGAATTTGGAGAATGGAGGCAAGCCAATGTGGTGTAGTGGTTAAGTTGTTGGACTTGAGAAACTGAGGTTAGGTCCCCCTCTCAGCCACAAAAGAAATCTGGGGATTATGGACCGGTCCTTTTTTCTCAGTCCCAGAGCCAGTGTGATGACCCGTAGTCTCTCAAAATAACCCAAATCCCAAAACATATATTAAAGTCCGGTAAAGCCTTCAACTTAACTTCACTGTTTTATTAGGCACAGTTTAAAGTCACAAAAGTAAATAATGAGGCAAACAGAAAACCAAAACAAACCGCATTGATGAGAGTTCCGAAGCAAGCCAAGATAACTAATTATAAACTCCAGGAAAATAACCAAGAAAAGTCCATGGGAAGAACGCCAGCAAAGATAAACCTCTCTGAGGTAAACACTAATTGACTTCAACAATTCTAACTCTGCAGTTGCAAACTTATATACATAGCTCCCACCTGCAAGCCATGAGGAGGATCATGGTAATCTCCTCTTGAGTAGATCTCACTTTTCCCTGATCCTCTTCTCCCTGCGTGACCTAGGATGGGTAGGGGATGGGCCTGGATCCTCCTCTGACTGCTCAGCCGGCCTCTGCCCTTCCCCAGCCTCCTCCATCACCTCTGGAGCCACATTCCCACTCCCTGTTGGCTGTTCCTCCTCTTCCTCAGAGTCAGACTCCACCAGGGGAATGACAGCCAGTGTGATCTAGTAGTGAAGGTTTCACATTAAGACGGCGGAGATCCAGGTTAATGTCCCCTCTGAACCATGGAAGTTCCCTTGGTGACTTAGAGCCAGATTCTCCCTCAGCCTTGATTGCCTCATGTATTAGAGGGGCAGTAGTAGGATTCAAAAATTTGGCTTGGTGGGTGTGGCAGGGGAAGGATACTGCAAAATCCCCATTCCCTCCCCACCCCACTAACCTGCTTTCCAGCTCCGTTCTCCTATGCAGGGCAATCAAAGAAGACCCAGCCGATCAGCTGGGACTCGGGAGGCAGAGAATAGATGGGGAGGGGCCAGTCAGAGGTGGGATTTGCCGATTCTCCGAACTACTCAAAATTTCTGCTACTGGTTCTCCAGAACTGATCAGAACCTGATGAATATCACCTTTGAAGAGGGGTACCTGTGAATTTGTGCAGCAATTAAGGCAGCAGGTTAGAAACTGGGAGACTGAGATCCCAAAGGTGCTTTTCAAAAGGCAACTGGACTTCTTGGTTCTTTTCCCCTTGAAAACATTTCACTTTTCATCCAAGGAAGCTTCTTCTGTTTTGGGTCCAAGAAGTCCTTGACTTTTGAAGAGCATGCCTGGATGATTGCGAATCTCCATAAATGGGAGACCGTGTAGTCTTCCCTTGGGTGTAAAGCCAGCTGGTCCCTTGGGCTAGTCACTTTCTCTCATTCTTATGAAGGCACCAATGGCAAACCACTTCTGAAAAACTTTGCCAAGAGTTGTCCAGGCAATCTTTGAGAATCACACACAATTGAACATAAGGAAAAACAAATGATCTATTCCTAACCAAAAAGTTGAGATATAAGTCTGGCAGATAAACACATAAAGAAGAAGAATGCCACAATATGGTTGCTTTCTCAATTAACTTGGAGTCCTAAGTCAAAATTTGTGCTGAGGAAAAGAATAGACATACCAGCACTAATCATACCTTATTGAAATTAGCCACAAATAGCAAATTCATGGCCTCCAGATGGACTCCAGTTCCCATATCTCAGCTGTTTCGCCGAATTCCAGACAGGAAGGGAAACAAAGGTCTCAAATGAGTCAAATGAGTTTCATAATGATCAAATGAGTCTTTATTCGTCCATACAATGCTCTGGATTCCGGTAACAACAAGTAACCAAAAGGAATTAAAGTCAGCTCTGGCGCGCCTCACAGCCAGAGCTGTATTTATACACCAGCTAACAACTTAATGAGTTTATCCACCATCCGGTGAGTGCTACTGCGTCACATCCGACCACCATGTAATACTCTATATATACCGTGCTTTTATCCATTAATTATCCACCCCTATTTACCATATTTGTACAAATATCATATTCCATCATTATATTTACGCCTATGAAGTGACCCTCCACCCCTCCCGAGATCGTTAGTTCAACAGGCAGCATCTTAATCGCTTTGTTTACAACCGCCCACAGGCTGTAACAGCTCAGCGTGCGACGTCAGCAAGGCTCATCGAACCCCAGGTTGGGTGATTAACAGCACTTCCCCCCCTCGATAGCATAGTCTGATATGGCACAACGCGTGGTGTCACGGCTCCAGCATGCTCTGGAGACATGACACCATCAGCTCTGAGCACAGAGGATGAGTGAGTTGTAACTCAAAATTTCTAGGAAACACCACACTGGCTACTACCACACTAGCCCATTCTATATGAACCTCCTGCTATCTTCTTATCTCCCATTCAGTTTTGCTTCTCTCTGTAAGTAAGGATGAGATTTGCTCATCCTTGACTCAGTAAAAAAAACTATATTGGCGTGAAATTTGAGACCCCGATTGCAATCGTTCCAGTCCAAGGCACTTGGCCTGACTTTCCTCCAAGGCCATGGGTGGTGAAGAAGATCTTAGGCATCTTGTGAGTGCTCATGGAGATTGTTGGAATAAAGAAGCAAATTAAGTCACCTAAGGGTAACTTAAGCCTCTCTTACTTATATGTGGGGGTGAGAGGAAGGCAAGGCTATGGGGACATGGCAGAAAAGAGGTTTCGCTAAGGCAAGTTGACGGCGTGGTTGGATGCCAGTGGGGGACGAAGCTTTTCACCCTTGTTGCCCTTGTGTTGCAGGTGGGAGGTCCTCGGTGATGGAGGGAACTGTGCCTTCCTGAATGACGAAGGCAGAGCAAGCTGTTCCAGGTGCCTCACCCGCCATCACTGGATATGCAGCAAGCCTGATGAGTTCACACGTCCAAAGATAGTTTGAAGATACACGGCTTCCAATCCACCCAACTGGCATTATCTCCTAATGTTGGATAAAGTAATGCGTGGGCATAGGAGCCCTGCAGCCCAGCCCAGCTTTGCTTCCCCAAGGAGGCATCCAGCCATGCTTACCTCCTCCTCGAGACTGCTGCTGCCGCCACGCTCTCTCTCCTTGGCCAGGTTGCCCATGGTGGGTGCAGGAGGGCAAAGTGTGTGGGTCAGAGGGAGGCCCGGTCCCTTTCCGTGTGAGGAGACTTGGCTTTGTAAGCAAAGCATCCTCAGCGATAGGATGGGAAAGCACCAGGGGATGGTGAGAGGGCAGCAGGGCTGCTGGTGGCCCAATGCTAAAGTAGGACCTCCCTCAGATCCTCCCTCTCTTCCTCTCCTTCCAATCTTCTTCCTTCCCTCCCTCCTCCCCTCCCTCCCTCCCTCCCTCCCTCCCTGCCTCTCTCCTTCTCCTTCCCATCTCCTTCCTGCCTTCCTTCTTCCCTCCCTGCCACCTTCTCATTCCCAACTTCTTCCTCCCTCCCTCCCTCCCTCCCTTCCTGCCCACTTCTCATTCCCATCGTTTTCCTTCATCCCTCCTTCCCTGCCTCCCTCCTTCTCATTCCCATTTCCTTCTTTCCTTTTTTTCTTTCTGTCTTTTTCTTTCTTTCCTTCCTTCCTTCCTTCCTGCCCACTTCTCATTCCCACCATTTTCCTTCATCCCTCCTTCCCTGCCTCCCTCCTTCTCATTCCCATTTCCTTCCTTCCTTCCTTCCTTCCTTCCTTCCTTCCTTCCTTCCTTCCTTCCTCCCTTCCTTCCTTCCTTCCTTCCTTCCTTCCTTCCTTCCTTCCTTCCTTCGTTCCTTCCTGGAGAGAGAGCAGCAGGGCTGCTGGTGGCCATGTGCTAAGACAGAATTTCCCTCAGACCCTCCCTCCCCTTCCAATCTTCCTTCCTTCCTTCTTCCCTCCCTCTCTCCCTCTCTCCCTCCCTCTCTCCCTCTGTGTCCAGAAAAGGACAAAGGGAGAGGGAGAGGGTGGCAGGAATGCTGGAGGCTGGGAAGAGGGGAGGAGGGAAGGGCGATAGGGTGGCAGTGATGCCAGTGGCCGTGGCTTTCCCACATGGGGGCGGGGCGGGCGGTGGGGCTATCCCGGGGAAAGGGAACCGCTTGCAGGCTGCAGGACCAGCAGGCAAGGCCAGGCCGGCAAATGGGGCATGGCAGCACTGGAGCCGCTGGTAGTGGGCGCAGCGCTGCTGCTGGGGCTCTACGCGCTGCTCTACTACTGTCCCTCCTCCTGCACGCATCCTGGAGGAGCACCCAGCTGGGCTGGGGCCAAGGTGCTGGGGGCCGGTCCCTTACGGTCTCTGCGAGTCAGATGATCTAACCACATCATGGGCTGGATCTGGCCTCGCGGGCCTTGAGTTTCTTTCACATGACCATCCTAGCATATCATATACTGGCAATATGATTGTCTTAACTCTTGCTCTTGCTGGTCAGGGATCAAATCTTAGGATCTCCTTTTTTGAATGAATAAGGAGTTAGGATGGTGATGTGAAATGGAGGGGGCAGAGAGTTCCCCCTCCCCCCCCCTTTGACTGTTGAGGTAATTCCCCATTAGGAGAATGAGCGCATACAGGGAGACGTATTTGAGAGTAGTGTTTGAATAAGACACACACAGTACACAGATACACTGTACAGTAAATGTAGGTTTTTACTTCCAGAAAGTTTAAGCAAAGGTCAAGATAAGCAAGTCCAAAGTCATTCATATGTAAATCAGTCAGTTTTTTCAATCCAGGGATAATTCAATAACAAAATCCAGTGTCAAAAACAGTTCAGTATCAGACTTACATTAAATCCATGAACATCAGTCAATGAGAAGAAATGGAGGAACGGCAATACTTTCCAACAGAAGGAAACAGAGATTCACTCTCTTCTGAGACTAAGGCTAAACAACCCAGGTTTCTGGCTCCATCTTATGGCCGTTTGAGTAACCGCACCCAATTGCAGTTTTTAGCATGCTCTTAAAGACATAGTACTAAAATGTTTATCCTGGTTTATATATTTCTAACCCAAATATCTGTTAGGTGACCTATATCCCTAACAACTATGTTGAAAGAAACTCTCCTCAGGCCTGGGTTGGGATAGCTAGAAGATGTTCAGATGTTTAACGAGTTGCTTATTTCCTCTGGATTTTCCTCTGTATTATATCGTCTTATATCTCTATCATGTTTACAGTTCTGCATTGTTTACTGTTCTAGACTGTTTACATCTCCACATAGTTTAGACCAGTGGTTCTCAACCTGTGGTCCCTGGACACCCTGGGGCACGGCAATGTTATCACAAGTTATCTGTGAAGGCTTGAAAACTAAATGTTACGATTTAAATCTTGAGTTAAGTCTTGGGGGTCTGTGGACACAAAAGGTATTTAAAATGGGATCCCTGCTGAAGAAAAGTTTGAGGAACGCTGGGTAACACCTCTATATTGATTTCAGCATTATATTTTACACCTCTGCCTCACAAGTTGCCTTGGTTGTTAGTTTTGCTTCTGGGTCCAACTTAAGCTGCAGGGTTTTAACCTTGAAAGCTCTTTGTGGCGTTGGACTGGGTTAGCTGAGCCACTACCTCTCCCCAGTTACACCTGCCCATCGCCTTAGCTCTGGCAGAGAAGGCATCCTGCTATGGATCCCTTAGTGCAGGGGTGTCAAACTCGATTCCATTGTGGGCCGAATCAGGGTTTGTTTGCCTGTGGCGGGGGGGGGTGGCCTGGTCATTGCAGCCAACTGGGTGGGCATGGCCAGAGTGAGCCGGGGCTGGGATGGCAGGGGCCAGTCCTTTGCCATCTCCGGCACAGCCCCATGGGACAACTCTGGGCCTATCGCAGGCCAGATTTGGCCCGCGAGCCACGTGACTGACATGTCTGCCTTAGCGAGTCCCAGGAGAGGGCCTTCTCTGCCATAACACTCACTTTATGGAATATACCTCACACACACCCCATCCCCAGCCGTGAGATTAGCGCCAACCCTGAATTTTCTGGAAATCCCTCAAGTCCTTGATATGACATCACACCAGAAGATCCCAGGGAATCAGTGAGATTGTGATGTTGACATCTACTTTCTCCTAGGCCTTATGAGTTTAATTTTTTTTTAATAATGATTTTTCTTAATGTTTACGCTTTTAGCCCCAATCATCGCCAAATATGATAGCCAGGAAGATAAATTTCATGTTTATTATTTTTGAAAGGATGCTATCCCCACACTCAAAATTCAGGTGGCCAATATATCAAGTCAAATATCAAATACTAAGCTGTGTACAACTGCACAAAACATTTATTTATATATATTGTTTTATAGCCGTATTATTTTTTCCCTTCCCCAATAACAAATGTGTTAAATTATTTCCCTTTTTACTGTACTATTTTATTGTAAATGCTGGTCAAAGGCCATACTAATTATACTTGATTTCATGTGATTGACTATTTTATTATTGTATTGTGGGAAGCCCCCCCAGCCCTCCTTTTGTTCACCAATAAATGGATCTTCTTTTCAATCAGCCTCCAGCCTTCATTTTGTTTCCAGTGCCTTTCTCCCGGCTTGTAACCAGGATATTTCTTCCAACAGTATTGCATGCAGCTCAGAGTTACTTTTGGAAAGGTGGGCATATAGATATATAAATAAATGAATAGGTAAATAAAAGTGCATATTGAAAATCATGGCAATCATTCTATTTCACATCCCTTGATTCTTATAGTGTCAGAAAAACTCTCACCTAAAGGGAGAAAAAAACAAAGCATTTGGACACCGAATCAACAAAGGAGACTTTATTGGAATATCATTGGGCCAGCTGACCTACCAATACAACTCTCTGTTTGGGTACCCAGATATCTGAATGAGCAAAGGATGACATTAACATCCATGACAAAAATTACAGGAAAAACTAAAAACAAAATCCTTCTTAGTTTGTCTGTGTGTGTGTGTGTGTGTGTGTGTATTCTGAGGTTCTCGCGGGTATTTGTATGTGGATCTTTGGTTATTCGGGTTTTCCCCCGCGTAAGATTGGAAGTATCAGCAACGTTTTGATGA